CATGTGGAATGTTAAATACAACTTTATAAGACAGAAATCATATGCTATTTTTTTTTTCAAAGAATTTATTACAAAAATGTCAGATAACTGGCTGCAACAATAATAATAATCATGTAATGAAGTCAAAAATGTAAAATTGGCAAAATCATTTCATAAATGATTTTTAAAAAGATTTAAACTTTGGAACATTGGAATGTCTTTAAAGCCGTTCTTAAACGTATATATTCTGCACATAGTAAGAATATGGAATATGTCCATAATGAGTTAAGCAAATTGTAATGAGAAAAACACTTCATAACAGAAACATCGTGGTCCAGGAACCCATTGTCTTCTAGTCTCTAAATTTTGAATCTGGATCTTAAAACAAATAATATTACTGCATTGACTTGCGATAATATGTATTATATATTAAATGATAACGCACAATACAGACGTTTAGTCTTTTATATGAAGTAAGAGATACAGGTAACTGGACACCATTTGGTCAACTTGCACCTGTCTGACTGGATTCATTATTACAGCCCTATTATTCTCTACTTCATGCAGTTTATGTTATGTTTTTGCACATTGCTATCGTTGTCATATGCTTTATGTTTAGTAAACATAGTAACCGACAAGACGAATTTAAATTCCGACACACAAGCGCTTCATATTCTGTTCAAAAGCGATGCAAGCAGACGGACTCATAACTCATAACTTACCTACTATGTAGTTTAATGACTGTGAAGCGAGTCTTCATATATTCCGCGCATTACAAACATCGGAGGGCTGTTTATTTTTATTCCCAGCATTATTCTAAGGGATCACAGACGCAAAGCAGGAAGTTAACGGTATTTTCCCTCTGATTGGTCAGCGCTCACGGAAATGTCGAAATCTAAGCTTCTGATTGGACAGACCGTGTGAGCACGTATGTTTTTCCGTCGGGTAACGTTAGCGCACGTTTACTTGCTCAATTATTCATTCGTTACTTGCTCAATAATTAAAACTCAAGGGTGATACATGAGTACTAACTTTTATACTTCTCCTCTTATTTCAGACTGATGTAATGAATAGATAGAAGATGTATCAGTCAGATGAATTTGCAAATAACTTTTGGAACAATAAAATCAAACCAGAACAATTTGTATAAAAAATAACAAAAATTCTCTTAATTTTGATGCTACAAAAGTACATAAAATCAATGGCATTCTTAAATTTTGTGATCACCTGCTTTAAATGTTAAATTCATAAAGAAAGAATGAAAGAATGTATGAGACATTAAAGATTTTTATTTATGAAAGAGGCTCCAGGGGCCAGTTGATCGGATTTTGGCCATCAATGGATCAAATCTTGAAAATGGGTTGTTCGAAAGAAAAAAGGATTCTGAATTCACAAAATCCAATCTTGCTTTTGATCTGGATTAAATCCTCAGTTTGTGTTGTTCAAAATGTTTTAGTAAAATTGGGATACTTTTGATCCAAAAATGGGATTATTCTGGTCCCAGCAGAAGGGTGGATTTCAGGAACAAAAATGTAATAAAATTTTAATACTAGTCCAAAAAATACAACATTTCAACATGTAATATATGCCCAAATAGCTGTCAATATCAAACAAAAATATGATATTTAATTTAAAGGTTTTTTTAATCACTAATTGTAATTGGCACAATCATCAGAGATGGACCAGTCAGAAGTAGTTATTTGTGTAAATGCAATGCAAAACACTAAGTAATCCAGATTTGGAGATCTGAAAAGTGTGTATCTGGATCAGGGTGATCCAATCCAATTTTGCTTTGAAAAACCGGCACAAAAGTAAGATGGGTTACCTGATCCTGGACAGCAAAACATGAGATTTCCAAATCCAGATCATTCTGATCCAGATTAAACGTTTTGAACAACTCTGCCCCTGGTTTCCCCAGATTATCCCGTTTCTGGACTGTCAAGAGGAGCCTGAGTGAAATACATTATGAGCAACCCATGCCCTGTGAGAACTTCTAGACTGAATTTCTAGACCCCCTGGGGAACCATCAAAGAGGATGTAGCGGATGTAGATAATTCAATAATAGCAATTCTGAATCATACACAACAAAACAAAGTAACCAAAGAGAGCAGGTGTGTAAGACAATAATCAGAGATCTCTCCTATTTTTCTTCAGATAATGCTGCGTATTGCTGTAGAAGCGACCCAGATCGGTGGCTTGAATTGGAGAACGTCAGTTTCTAAACTGGTTTACTATCCAGACAGACACGCAGACACGACCTGTACATGCTCAAGAACAATCTCGGAATCTAAGATGGCTTGTCACAAGGTGAGTTCTTTATGACAGCAATAAAACTGTAATTCTCAATCATACAAAACAGAACAAAGAAACAAGGCAAAAAAAGGAACACCTGAGCCAAGTGGTTTGGGGGAAGTTGTGGCCTAATGGTTAGAGGGTTGGACTCGTAACCCAAAGGTTGTGGGTTTGAGTCTCGTACCGGCAGGGAATGTAGGGGGGGGGAGTGAATGTACAGCGCTCTCTCCCACCTTAACTTTCTTAATGCACATTTTATCAATTGAATAACATAGTATATTTGACTGTCCCACATTAGTCAAAACTAAATCCTATGTCACTGACCTTTGAATGAAACTTCACAAGCGGCACTTCCGGTTTGATGATTTTCATGGCCACATTTCTGACATAATTTCAATAACTTGACACCCCTGCTTGAATTCAACACCAATCATGTTCACTTTAATCAATGTTGTAAAAGAAGAGATAAAAACCCTGAGGCTTAGGTGTCCCACATTACACTAATCCACCCTATTTTATTTAATATACACTTACATGATAAAATAGCTTTGAATATATACATATAAACAGCTCTTTGTAGCTTATTGAACCACAAGACAGTCAAGCATTCACCTCCAAAGTACGATATTAAAATTAAATTGCATTTTACAGTTTCCTCATTTCATTCGATTCATATATATGTATGTATGTATATATATATATATATATATATATATATATATATATATATATAATCGTGATGACTGAAACAAGGCAAAAAAAGGAACACCTGAGCCAAGTGGTTTGGGGGAAGTTGTGGCCTAATGGTTAGAGGGTTGGACTCGTAACCCAAAGGTTGTGGGTTTGAGTCTCGTACCGGCAGGGAATGTAGGTGGGGGGAGTGAATGTACAGCACTCTCTCCACCTTCAATACCACGACTGAGGTGCCCTTGAGCAAGGCACCGAACCCCCAACTGCTCCTCGGGCGCCGCAGCATAAATGGCTGCCCACTGCTCCGGGTGTGTGTTCACGGTGTGTGTGTGTTCACTGCTGTGTGTGTGCACTTTGGATGGGATAAATGCAGAGCACTAATTCCTAGTATGGGTCACCATACTTGGCCACATGTCACGTCACTTTCACTTAATAAACCGTGGTAGTGTGGACAATGCAAGAATTTGATTGTCACTCAAAGAGAGAAGGTGTGAAGATTATAATCAAATTATTAGGTTTCATTATTAGCCCACATGTAAATAAATGAGAGCAGTAGTGAAGATGACATAAATAGAGAGAATAATGGATAGAGTATTCATGTTTTTTGTATTTTCTCTTCACTGTTTTCAAGAAAAGTTTAGTTCAAACTAGTTTTAAAATATATATTTAATATATTTAAACAAGCATCATCAATTATTTTGGGGAAGTTGACATTTTTAATACCTGGACTTGCTTCATGTCATAGAAAGGAAAAATGATCTGATTGACCTGACTGACCTTCACAGTCACGAGGCCTACTGCAGGGGTCCTCTTTATGATATAATTTCCTATTTTTGTTTGATATCATTATGATATAATTTCCTAAGTTTTCATTGGTCTACTTCCTTGAATTTGAACTAAAACGGAAATGTTGCATTCTTTCTGCATTCACTCTCAATTCAGTCCCGAATGGCGCTCAACCCTGTCAGAGTCAGCCACAGACAGATGTTAACAGAAAGCCCATAATTCCGCAGCTTACATTTTCAGGTGAAATTACACATTGATGGAAATTTCCTTGCCATCAACTGAACCATGACTGAATCATGCAGGTCCTTTTTAAAAAAAAAAATCATCACAGTGTGTTTGCACTGCCAAGAGATTCAGCCATTTAGGGGGCTGTCCCATGGTTTTTGGGAACCAGAGAAAATGGTTTATTGATATGGTTTGAACATTGTTTTCAGTAAATAATAACTTAAATTTTGATCTGTTCACAGCTCATGTGATCATGTCAGCTTCGCTTCTAAGTGGACCCATTTAATGTACAATTTTTAGTAGGCTACTAATATTGAATCATTTTTGAAGCTCATCACAGCTTTACAGTGATGAAGAGGAAATTAATAATTAAATGATTCAAAAAGAATTCAATTCTGCTGTAAAGCAGCTCTAAAAAGATTAAACAGTCATTATTCAGGTGTGTATATATTTTGTAGTGCTGTCAAACGATTAATCGCATCCAAAATAAACGTTTTTGTTTACAAAATATATGTGTGTGTACTGTGTATATTTTTATGTATATACTGTGTGTGTGTGTGTGTGTGTATTTATATATACATAATACATATACACAGCACATACAGAGATATTATGTAAATGAAAATTTTATTTGGGATGTGATTAATCTCGATTAATCATTTGACAGCACTAATATACATACACATATATATATATATATATATATATATATATATA